CTGGGCTTGTATGTCTATTTCTTTACCCATGTTGGGGAGGTTTTCCATCATATTTCTTCAAATAAGTTTTCATCTCCTTGCTCTATCTCTTCTCCTTCTGATACTCCTATGACGCGAAGAGTTGTTACATGTGTTGTCCCAGAAGTCCCTTCAGTTGTCCTCATTTTTTAAAATTCTTTTTTTCTTTTTTGCAGTTCAGATTGGGTGTTCTCCACTACCTTCATTTCCAAATCTCTGGATCCTCTGCTTCATTTAATCTACTATAAATTCCCTCTAATGTATTCTTCATTTCAGTTATTGTATTCTTCACTTCTGACTAATTCTTTTTCATGTTTTCTATCTCTTTTTTATGTTTCCTGTCTCTTTGCTGAAGTTCTCGCCGAGGCATTTAATTCATTTCTTAAGTTCACTGAGCATCCTTATAACCAGTGTTTTGAACTCTGCAGGTGGTAGATTGCTTGTCTCTTTTTTGTTTAGTTCTTTTACTAGAGTTTCATCCTGTTCTTTAATTTGGGCGTTTCTTTGTCTCCTCATTTTGGCTGACTCTCTGTGTTTGTTTGTATGTATTAGGTAGATCTGCTTTGTCTCCCAGTTTTGGTAGGGTGGCTTTATATAAGTGTCCTATGGGGCCCAGTGGTGCAGTCTCCTTTGTCACCTGAGCTGCTTGCTCCATGGGTGCCTTTTGTGTGGATTGTGTGTGCCCTCCTCTTGTATTTGAGCCTTGATTGCTATTGATACCTCAGTGAGAGGGATTGACCCTCAGCCTGACTGGCAGTGAGGAATGGCTGTGGCTACAGCACATGAGCTATTGTGCATGGGCTGACCCCATGGAGCAGAATTCACTTTAGCAGGGCTCTGGTGTCTACTCAGTCTACCCTTTGGGTGTATCATTTGTGGATCTCCTTAGATGGTGCCCTTGTGTGATGTGAAGCCAGCTACTAGTTATGTTGGTTCTGGGGCCTCTTGGAAGGAGCTTTGATGTAAGCCAAAGTCAGCCACTTGCTGTGTCTCACTTGGAGGAACTTGGTAGAAGCTACAAAGTGATCTGCAGGTGATTGCCACCTGTGCTGGGCTTGTAGGTGCCTGGGAGAGGCTAAGCTATGAACCGATGCCAGACTCGGGGCTGCCTAGCAAGAGGTATGAGGCACGCTGAGGACAGCCACTGCTTGTCTGGGGTGTGCAGACCTTTGAGAGATTTTAGAAAAGTTTTCAGTGTGAGCCAAGACTGGCCATTTGCATGGAAATGCCACTGGAAGTAGTTCCAGGTGAGTGCTCGAGTTAGGTGTGGTGGGCTCTTAGAGAATTACCTGAGTGGGATACATGGTGTTAGCCATGTTGGTGGAGACTCAGACTTGGCACCTGCCTGCACCTGTTGGCTGTATGGGGGAGGGCTCAATAAACTAGCAATGGCGTCTAGTAAGCTGCCTTCACCTCTGCCTCTCTAGCCCTCTTCCTGAAGGTGGTCAATTCAGCTCCTCCTTGTAGGTCCCTGGCACTTTCCAAGCAGCTACCCCAGTGCTGGATCTCAGTGAGTCCATGAGCAAGTCTGTGGGCTGTCCCTTTAAGACCTGCAGTTCCTAGGTCTTTGTCAGCCCTCCATCTCACTCAGCTGTGATCCCTCCTGGTTTTCACAGCCAGATGTTATAGGGACTTCTCTTCCTAGCACTGGTGGTCCGGGCTAGGGAACCCTTTGTGGGTCTGGGACCACTCGCTCCTCGTTGGGTCAGTGGGTGAGGACTCTGCAGCCGAGATATTCCTCCAGATTCTTAACTACCACAAGTGGGTTTAGGACCAGCCCATTCTGCATCTCTTTGCCCCTCCTACCAATCTTGCTGTGGCTTCTTCTGCATATTCCTGATTATAGGGATCCTGTTCAGCTAGACTTCAGGCAGTTCTTAATGATGGTTGTTCTGTAGTTTAGTTGTAATTTTGTTGTGATCATGGGAAGAGGCGAGCACAACATTTACCTACTCCATCTTGACCAGAAGTTTCTTTAATAGAATCTTTTAAACATTTAAAATAATGGAGAACTTATTTGTCATTATTCTATTTAAGGAAATTTTCCCTGTGTGAAAGATAAGAAAATGATGACCCTTTGTACAGCAGTTCGATTGTTTTGGACAGTGGAAGCCCATAAAAGTGGCTCATCAATCTTTAGCAGCCTGGCTTTATTTAGTCAAGGCCATACCTTATTGCGCTTTGGAGATCATCTATGACCTTTGGAATTTATTGTAGTCAGAATAGACCAGATCTTCATTAAACCGTATTAGAGTTAGGAAATCAATTTAGTGTGTTACAGCCAACAATTTTTTAAAATAAAATACATCGCCTATAGTTTTATTAAAGTTGTGTTTCCAGAATATGTGTGCGTCGATACATGTGTGTGTGCTAGGTTGAGATATGAGATATATTTCTTACTGCAGCTTGTGGCAAAAATTTTCAATCTATTGCTCTAATCCAATCTAATCTTGTAGTCTCGCTTAGGATGTCCATGGCAAGTGATAATTGTTAGAGTTTGAGGGAGAAAGGAGACCAGGATTGTGAATCCTGAGGGGACAAAAAGACATAGGGAGGAGGAGAATATGGTTATTTGCTTTAACCAGCCAAGCCGGGAGTCCCCAAGAGGACTCTTCTAGCAGGCCCAAACTCCAGGGGATGGGGTTGGTTATTTACCACATTTTGCTCTGCATTCCTAAAGTACCTTGTGTATAATCTCACTCACTGCACACACCATGTTATTTTATAATTTTTTAAAATGTCTTTGATGAGCCAAGTTTATAGATGGCCCTCCATAAATGTTATTAGGAGAGAAGAATAAAAGGTTGACATTATTATTGGCCTTATTTTACTTAATACTTGTTAATGACATGTTTACTCCTGCACTAGTAAAGAAGTCATCCCATTTCCAGTCACATGTGAGCATTATGCCCTGTACCGTGAGTACATTGTGAAAATAGTCCATACTATCTATGGAGCCAATAGCAGCAAAATTCCATCCTGTCTCTCAAGATGTCAGTAGAACAGCTGGAATTTTTTTCATTGTGTAGCTTCTAGCTTTGTTAAGAAGTAAGGAGGAAGAAGCTAGGCCCTTTTATGTCCTTAGTGACAACATAAATTATAATTCATCAGATATAGTCACAAAGCTAACTGTCTTGGCATGTTGGGATGAGGGAGGGAACTACAGAAGCAATTATAATATGCTCTCATTGGGCAAGTTCAGAGTACAGTGAGGTCCTGTGGCAGAGAAACTGTCATAGTCTAAAGTGATTTGGGAAGACCTTCCAGAGCAAAGGACATGTGAGGAGACCTGAGGGTTAAATAGGTATTAATCAGACAGAGGGAACAGCATGGGAATCACATGAAGCGGCTAGCTCATGAAGAGCCTCCAAATGGAGATTTGATATTTAGACTATATGTCCTAGATAATGGAGCTCTTATCTGCTGTTGGCATAGTAATCTTAGGCAGCCTACAGAAGATGGAAGCAGCCAGAACTGGAATCACAAGATCATTCAGCTGGAAAACTTACAGAGTTCCAGAACACTCCAGAACTGAGTGTCTATGTTAGAGCTGTGTCAGGGCATGGTGATAGAAATGCTGCTAAGAAAGAATCAGTGGGCTCAGTGGTTTTTTGTGAGGGGCCAGGGAAGGGAAGGGTACCTTTGACTCTAGTTTTGAGGTTTGGCACCTGAGGATGACAGTGATGGCTTTCACAGTAGTAGAGAACATTCAAGAGCAGTCAGTCTTGGAAGAAAAAATGACGGGGAGATAGGATTTTACATCTTGAGTTGTAGAGTTCATAAAGCCCTTGGGGCACCATTTCAAAGTATGGTCTTATTAGAAGAAAATTTCTTATGATCCATAGATAAAGTTTTTCATTTTTTGGCATTTTTCCCCCTTGAACGCTCTTAGCTTTGGGGTAAAAAATCACATGCCATTACAGCACAAGAAATATAGTCAATAATATCATAAAAACTTTGCATGGTGCAGATGGTTACTAAACTTATCATGGTAATCACATCGTAACGTATCTAAATGTCTAATCACTATGTTATACATCTGAAACTAATATAATATTGTATACCAGCTATACTTTAATAAGTTTTTTAAATTAGATGTCATTTAACTTCATATTTTAACATTCTAAATACAGGAACATATATTTTCAATATTTTTATCAGCTAAGACATGAAATTGTTACTTGATCCAAATCAGGCTTTTTAAAAAGACAGTGGCATAACAGATTTGTCTGTTTATAAATCAAGTATCAGAGTATACATTTACATGAATGTCAAATAGGCAGTTAGAATTAAAAGCCTCCACAGTTCAATTAGTAGTTCCTTCAGAGCCTCCTTAATTTACTTTGTTTTCTTCATGCCTAGTCATTATCCTACAGTGACTTCTGAGAAGCAATTTTCTTGAGAGTACAAATTAGATTATATCCCTTTATTGAACTGAAATTTTTAACAAGGCTTTCCACTAATGAGATATGGTATCCATGTTAGGCTAAAAAGGCTAATTTGAGTCATTAAGTTAGCATTTCAGAATTTGAAGTTATTGATTAAATCTTCACTAATAACACAAGCAAAGTTTAGTAATGAAAAAGATTCTACTAGGTGCTACTAACACAACCATGAAAATTCATACCAGATAAAAAGTAGCAAGAGGAATTAGAATTAGCTTGACCGTTAACATATAATGCCCCCAAATCTAATAAACCCTCTTTCATTGATACTGCTTAAGATAAACTTGACTTTCAATTCTAAGATATACTCTTTATTCAGCAATTGGGTCTTCCAGGTTCAGCACAGCTACAGTCCTAAGGGAAAAGAAACTCTCCTTTGACTATAGCACATTCTGCTTTGATATGGAACCATATCTGGAGCATGAAAGAATTTTCTTTAACATGATAGGGAGAAAAGTTCAGCTCATTTTTTTATATTTATTTGATTTTTTTTACAGATATTTTTACTTCTGACCTGACTACTTTTTTTCTTTCTAGTTTAAGATTGATAAAGAATGGTGGACATGGATTGATTATAACCGCTTCCAGGAGCTCATCCAGGAATATGAAGACAGCAGTGGATCAAAAACTTTCAGCGCAAAGGATTATATGGCCAAAACTCCTCACTGGGCATTATTTGGTGCCAGCGAAAGAGGCTTTGATCCCAAGGACATAAGATATCAGAGAAAGAACAAATCAAAGGATATTTCTGGATGTTGAAATTATCTGAATTTAGGATACTGAAGGACAAAAACTGATGCCCCAGAAGGTTCTCAAATTCCACTATGATTTTTTCCAAGGATAAATTACACAAACTGTATTTCATACACAAGAGACTATGAGGCAGGACATGGGAATGCAAGTCACATCCTGGGGTTGGAGAAGTAGTATGCACATAGTAGTATGCCTGAGACTCACAGCCTCACCATTTTTTCCAGAGCTCAGTCCCTTTCCTGATTTTACTTCTGAGAAGAAAATCATTTTGGGAGGGAAGTACACAGTTGTTATTAGAACTTAACAGTTTTGAATTATAATTAGTAAGAATCCTTAGAATGCTATTCATGAGAGTATTGTACAGAATGAATATCTGTTCTTCTTCCCCTCGTGGGCTCTTGGCCTTTGTGGACTGTATTACCCTGAGGTAAGTGTATCTGCCACCTCTAAGATTCCATCCTCTTCTTGTATCTTAAGATAACACCTCTTGAAAGTAAATTGTCATAATTCTCAATTATTTTTAATACCGCATAGATTACTTCAAATTTTTGCTTAGTGCCAACACTTTAGATACTGAATTGGTTGTAAAACTGTACTAGATCTCATTCCATTCTCATACAGATTGCCATAGAAGGTTATATATGAGCTGGATTTGAGTAAAGCTCTCTTCTATAAGAGGAATTGTCATATGATGTCACTGAATAATTATTCCCACAGACTTTGAAACAATGAGTACAGTTTGCTTTTTATTTAAAAAGTCAGAGCCCTTTATGAGTATACATATAGCAGGTCACTATTTTCTTTCACTTTGGAGGCCCTAGCTATTTATGCAATGTTCTTTAAAGTTCAAGTTTTTTCTAATTGAAAACATTAAATACTGAATAGTTTTTGTAAGTATCATAGAGATTTTTTAAATTCCTTTGTCCTAAAATTTTAATTAATAAAAAACATTATAGACTTAGAACACATATTTTCTTTTGATTTTTTTCTCATATTAATTTTTTTGTTATTAAAAATTATTGAGGTGACATCAACAAAATCCAATAAGTTTCAAGTGTACAATTCAACAGTATGCTGTATATATATTGCATTGTGTGTTTACCATCCAAAGTTAGATTTTTTTTTCTATCACATTTGATTCCTTTTACCCCTATCTACCTCCCCACTCTCCTGCTTCTCTCTGGTAACCACAGGTCCACTGTCCATGTCCATGAATCTCTGTTTGTCATGTTTGTTTGTTGCTTTTAGATTTATATCCCACATATGAGTGATATCATATGGTTTTCAACTTTTTCTGTCTGGCTTACTTTGCTTAGCATGATTGATTATCTCATGATCCATCCAAGCTGTTGCAAATGGCAGTATTTCATCTCTTCTGATAGCTGAGTAATATTCCATTGTATATATGTACCACATCTTCTTCATCCAGTCATCCATTGTAGAACACTTTGGATGCTTCCAAGTCCTGGACACCGTGAATAATGCTGCTATGAATATCGGTGTGCAAATATCGTTTCGGATAAATGTTTTCCATTTGTTTGGGTAAACACCCAGTAGAGGGATTGGTGGATCATATGGTAGGTGAATTCTTAGTTTTTTGAGGAACTGCCATACTGTTTTCCATAGTGATTGTGCCAATTTGCAGTCCCACCAGCAGTGTATGAGGGTTCCTTTTACTCCACATCCTCTCCATCACTTGTTATTACTTATCCTGTTGATGATTGCCATTCTAACAGGTGTGAGATGGTGGTGTCTCATTGTGCTTTTGATTTGCATTTCCCTAGTGAAGTTAAGCATTGTTTCATATATTTGTTTGCCATTTGTATGTCTTCTGGGGAGAAGTGTCTCTTCAGGTCCTCTGCTCATTTTTTGCTTGGATTGGTTTTTTGTTTTTTTGTTATTGAGTTGTATGAGTTCTTTGTATATTTTGGATATTAGGCCTTTATCAGGGGTATTGTTTTCAAATATATTCTCCCATTTAGATAGTTGCCTCTTTGCCTTGTTGATGATTCCTTTTGCTGTGCAGAAGCTTTTTAGTTTGATGTAGTCCCATTCATTTATTTTTGCTTTTACTTCCCTTGACTTTGAGGTCAAATTCATAAAATCCTCTTTAACTACAAGGTCCATGAGTTTAGTACCTAAGTTTTCTTCCATGCAATTTATTGTTTCAGATCTTGTATTCAGGTTCTTAATCCATTTTGAGTTAATTTTGGTGTGCGGTGATAGATAACAGTCTAGTTTCATTATTTTGCATGCAGCTTTCCAGTTTTCCCAGCTCCATTTATTGAAGAGGTTATCCTTCTCCATTATATGTTTTTGTATCCTTTGTTGAAAATTCTTTGCTCAAATAAACGGAGTTTCACTTCTGACCTTTCAGTTCTGTTCCACTGGTCTGTATGTGTGTTTCTAACCAATACTATGCAGTTTTGATTATTGTTGCTTTGTGGTATAATTTGAAGTTAGACAGAGTGATACCTCCAGCCTTGGTCCCTTCTCCTAGTAATGCTTTGGCTATTCAGGGTCTTTTCTGCTTCTGTACAAATCTGATGGTTTTTTGTTCTATTTCTTTAAAAAAATACATGGGATTTTGTGGGGATTGCATTAAATCTATAATAAGGTTGTTTTAACTATATTGATTCTTCCAATCCAAGAACACGGAATATCTTTCCATTTCTTTGTGTCTTCTTCAATTTCTTTTAATAGAGTCATAATTTTCATTATATGGGTCCTTCACATGTTTTCTTAGGTTTATTCCTAGATATTTTATTCTTTTTGTTGCAATTGCAAAGGATACTGTTCTTTTCACTTCTTTTCCAGACAATTTATTATTAGAGTATAGGAATGCTATGGACTTTTGAACATTGATTTTGTATCCTGAAACTTTACCATATTTGTTCATTATTTCTAATAGTGCTTTAGTGGAGTCTTTAGGGTTTTCTATATAATCATGTCATCTGCAAATAGCGACAATTTGACTTCTTCATTTCCTATTTAGATGCCTTTTATTTATTTCTCTTGCCTGATTGCACTCACTAGGACATCCAATGTTATATTGAATAACAGTGGTCATAGTGGACAGCCTTGTCTTGTTCTTGATCTTAGAGGAAAAAGGTTTTTAGTGTTTCACCATTAAGTATAATGTTAGCTGAGGGTTTGTTGTATATGGCCTTTATTATGTTGAGATACTTTCCTTCTATACCTATTTTATTAAGTGTTTTGATCATAAATCGCTGCTGTATCTTTTCAAAGGCTTTTTCTGCATCTATTGATATGATAATATGATTCTTATTCGTTATTTTGTTTATGTGGTGTATCACATTAATCGATTTGTGTTAAACCATCTCTATGCCCCTGTGATGAAGCCCACTTGGTCATGGTGTATAATCTTTTTAATATGTTCTTGTATTCGCTTTGCTAGTATCTTATTTAGGATTTTTGCATCTGTGTTCATGAGAGATATTGATCTGTAGTTTTCTTTTTTTGTATTATCTTTACCAGGTTTGGGATCAGGGTAATATTGGCCTCATAAAATGAGTTAGGAAGAATTGCCTCCTCTTCAATTTTTTGAAAGAGTTTGAGGAGAATAAGTATTAAATCATCTTTGAATGATTGATAGAATTCACTGGTGAAGCCATCTGATCCTGGACTTTTACTTTTTGGATGATCGTTCAAATTTCCATACTGCTGATCAGTCTATTTAGATTCTCCAGTCCTTCTTGATTTAGTCTAGAAAGGTTGTATTTTTCTAAGTACTTGTCCACTACTCTAGGTTATTAAATTTGGTGTTATATACTTTTTCATTGTATTCTCGTATGATCCTTTGTATTTCTGCATTATCTCTTGTAACTTCTTTTTCATTCCTGGTTTTGTGTCCTTTCTCATTTTTCTTTAGTGAGTCTAGCCAGGGGTTTGCCAATTTTATTAACCTTCTCAAAGAACCAGCTCTTTGTTGCATTGATTTTTTCTGTTGTCTTTTTGTTTCAATTTCATTTAATTCTGCTCTAATTTTGATTATTTTGGGCTTCATTTGTTCTTTTTTTTTCCTAATTTTTTAAGGTGTAGTATTAGATTCTTTATTTGGACTCGTTCTTGTTTTTTGAGATAAGCCTGTAATGATATGAACTTTCCTCTTATGACTGCTTTTGCTGTGTCCCAAAAGTTTTGATATGTTGTACTTTCATTCTCATTTGTTTCTATGTATCTCTTGATCTCTCTTTTTATCTCTTCTCTGACCCAGTCATTTCTCATTAGCATGTTGTTTAATCTCCATGTATTTGTGGTTAAGTTTGCTTTCTTTTTACAGTTGATCTTTAATTTCAAAGCTTTATGATCAGAGAATATGGTTGGTATCATTGCAGTCTTTTATCTTTGAGGCTATTTTTGTGTCCCAGCATGTGGTCAGTCCTTGAGAATGTTCCACGTGCACTAGAGAAAAATATATATGCAGCTGTTTTGGGATGAAAGGCTCTGTAAATGTCGATTATGTCCACTTGGTCTAATGTTCATTTCCTTATTGATTTTCTGTTTGGATGATATGTTCATATCCGACAGTGGGGTATTTAGGTCCTGTACTATGATAGCGTTTTGGTCAGTTTCTCCCTTTAGTTCTGTAATTAATTGCTTTATACATTTCGAGGCTCCCTAATTGGGAGCCATAGATATTAATAAGTGTTATGTCTTCTTGGCGTATGATTCCCTTTTATCATTATGAAGTGTCCCTCAGGATCTCTACGTTTTTTATCTTGAAGTCTATTTCATCATATATAAGTACAGCTACACCTGCTTTTCTCCGAATTTCATTTTCCACCCTTTCACTTTGAGTCTATATTTGTCTTTGGAACTGAGATGTGTGTCCTGGAGGCAGCATACGGTTGGGTTTTGTTTTTTGATCCATTCTGCTACTTTGTGCTTTTTTAATTGGTGAGTTTATTCCTTTTACATTTAGGGTGATTATTGAAATATGAGGTTTTCCTATAGCCATTTTATCTTTTGTTTTCTGGTAGCTCAGTGTTTCTATTGTTTCCTGGTCCTTGCTTTTCTGTCTGTTATTTTAATTTGGTGGGGTTTTGTGGATTTACCCTCTGGCCCTTCATGTTTTATGTTATATATCTCAGTTCTGGATCTTTGCTTTGTTGTTGCCATTAAGTTTATTTAAAGGATAGTTACATACATATATAGTAGTCCCTTTTCTTTTATACGTGCCTTATTTCCATTCTCCTTTGCAAATTTGGATCTTTGCTCCCTCTCCTTTTCTGTTATTGTTTTCTCAAACTGTCCCTATGTATGCTAAATGTTCATTTCTAAAGCATGGCAGGTATATTCTTAATGTTTAAACTTATATTACCATGTGCTTAATAAGGGTTGCACTATCTGGCAACTCTCTGCCTACTAGTCGTCTTACTCATAGTTATGTATTTTTTTTTGTCATTTTGTTTTAGATGGGTTGACTTCTTTCAGTATTTTCCTGTAATGGAGGCCTCATAGTGGAGAACCCCCTCAATTTTTGTATGCCTGTAAAGGTCTTTATTTCTCCTTCATATTTAAAGGAGAGCTTTGCTGGATATATTATTCTTGGCTGGTAATTCTTTTCACTTAATAGTTTGAATATTCAGTTCTACTTCTTTCTTGTTAATAGGTTTGTGCTGTGAAATCCAAAGATAGTCTAATGAGTTTTCCTTTATAGGTTACTGTCTTCTTTTCCCTGGTACCTTGAGAATTCTTTTTTTGTCATTAATTTTGACAAATTTAATCTAATGTGTCTTGGAGAAGGCTTTTTTGGGTTGAGACAATTGGGTGTTCTGTTAGCTTCTTAGGTTTAAAGATCCAACTCATTCCTTAGACTTGGGAAATTCTCATCAGCTATTTGTGGAATATGCTCTCTGTTTCCTTCTCCTTCTCTACTCCTTCTGGTATATCTGTTATTCTTATGTTGCTTTTCCTGATGGTGTCAGATAGTTCTTGTGTAGCT